TAATTATCATGATTAAGTATTACTAACAATTTGAACTTAAGTTTTGAGGGTTTCGTAGACCTTGATATGAAGAATTATTAGGTTAATGAAATTGTTAATGAGGAATTTCAACTCGAATCGTTTCAATTAGTATTAGAGTTGTCACCTCCTGTAGGTGTTGTGCCAATTAAACTACTACTCCCTCTCTTCAATTTTATTAGTCTAAATTTGATTTTTTAACTTTTTAGGCATAAATTTCATACGAAAGTTTAACAACTTATATGAATAATAATTAAAAAGTTTTTTTTTGTGTGAAGTTTTTGTTGAGTATTTTTTTGATAAAAAATTTTCAATTATTATTTATACAATATGTTTAATTTTTGGACAGTGATTGATACACATTCAGTTTAATACTGCTCAACAACTTATTAAAAAATTATTATTTCTTGGTCTGAAATTAGAGACATACAAGTTTAAACATTCAATCTTGCATACAAAATGTAAGAACCGACTGAATTAACTATATTTATAATATAATTTTAATGGTTGAATTAAAAATATATCAGAAAATGTATTGAATCGAGTATCTATCAATCATTTCCTTTCATTTTTATATGAAATTCATGTCTAAAAGAGTTGCAAAGTCAAATTAAAACTTTTAAAATTGGATATAAAAAGTATATAATTAAGTTAATTGGGTTTTTGAAATGTGATTCTCTTAGAGTAGAGATCCATTTATATATAAATCTTACGCACTATACATATATATATATATAATCTCAATAATTCATTTTTTTATTTTTAATAATTGAGATTTATTCATATTTATTAAAGATAATTATAATTTTCATATAAAAAATAATGAAAAAATGCAATAATTTTACGTTTGGTGAGAAAATGTGTACATAAAAATGTTAACTTTACATTTTTTTATTTAAAAATATCAACTTTTAACATTCTGATTCAAAATTTTATTTATCAAGTTAGTATCACCATCTAATTAATTATTAAATAAAAAATTAAAAATTGTTACCCTTAAATAAAAAAATAAAAATTATTATTTTTATTTAAAATTTAATAAAATTAATATTTTTAAATAAAAAATACAAAATTAACATTTTTATCCACACCTTTCCTCTCACGTTGATTTACATAATTTGGAGAGCGAAAAGGTCTGTAGTGGGTAG